AAGTACTTATGAATAGATACCTCTATGGAGACCACAAGGGACATGTTAAAGTTTCCCAAATTACCATCTGGTTCCCCATGCAGATTGGACAGGGGATCCGCGGCTTGGTGTTGCATTTCGGGGTTGGGAGGTTTACAGTGCGCAAGTGGGCAACTGCACATGGACACTCTGCAGAAATTCACGAGCTGAAACTAGATGACCCGAACAAGCGCGATAGAAGGACCATCACAGGATATCACAGACCTACAGACAGATGCGCACAGACGGCCCCACCATTCACGCGGTTGTTTCGAGAGTGATCGTGCCCAGCTCTATCTGCAGTGCTTCCCCTGCAACATTGGTAGCACGGGCCATCTTCTGCACTCGATTCCTTGCCCAGGACTTGGTCATCCGTCCAGTCAACGCCCGACGGCTAATCTAGAAGCCCTAATGGTTAGAATGGGATTTTGGGGTATATTATAGTATAATTAGAATCAGGAACCCCTAAAATACTATAATTAGGTAATTATTTAGGTTCCGATATTTAATCTTCTTGAGTGCATTGGACGGGACCTCCTTCGCGAGCTGGGTCTCACAGGCCGCCTTTATTATGACGATGGCGATGCGGTCACCATCACCATCCTAAACCCTTAACCCTAAATCACCACCATCTCCCCAGGCCGCATGAAGCCAAATTCAGCGTCCGGCCCTTGCCAGTGAAGACCTGCTGAGCTGAGTCTCAGCCGTGGTCTTCGCCTTGGTCCTGTGGAGCTTCCAGAAACCATCCTGGCGCGCTTCCACCCAGAGAACCCAAACATCGTAGGAGCCTTTAACATTATGATTTAATGTATATTCCTGAATTAAGGAATATACCTTGATTTATAGGGCCTTCACATTATGATTATTTAGGGTATATTCCTTAAAAAATGGGTCTTGGGGTCTGTGGGCATGATGCTCCACTCACGGAAAGCCCCGCAGAGGTTTTCCGCCTGGGTTTGCCTCTCGTATGTATACCTACAACATTCAGCTACTGCATGGTTCTCGGCGCAGCCGTGTTTACTATGCGCACGCATGATTTCTGCAGAGAAGGAAGGTTACACAGATTTAAGATTCAGTTCGTCATCCTCTGTGGAAAAAAAAACGAATCACTCGATCACTGCAAGCGAAGCTGCTCTAAATCAGACTTGCTTTGTGAGCTGGAGAAAAGCCCATAAAACCCGCAGTCTAACCTGAAGCCTCCCTCCTGCAAAACAAGCAAACCTTTCTTGAGGGTTTAGGGTTTGGGGTTCAGGGTTTAGGGTTCAGGGTTCAGGGTTTATAGAAGCCTGTGATCAGCAACACCGGAGCCCTCTGCACCTACGCTCGTCGCGAAGCCGCCAGCCAGCCAAATGTCCCGCCTGCTTCGTACTTTACAAATAAACTAGGCATAATGATAGTGAGAATATTGATTAGTAGCAACAATAATTATTCATCATGTTACGAACTGTTGTAATAAAGACAGCAGTAATGCTCGCAACAATTGCAGTACTAAGTAATCATACCAACAAATAGTAGTAATGGGGATAAATAAAGACAAAGGTATTTTGGCCCCTAACTAGCTAAAACAGGGTTTTGTAGTACTATGTACGAAAAATAAATAGGGGATCATACGGTGATTTGATTATTAGTTGTTCCGAGTTTTGACACCCATAGCAAACCTATCGCTTATGGCTTGCCATTTTTTATTTCCCATACTCCGGCATATCTGGGAAAAAGGACTAAACCATTTTTTGTGGGTTTGGGGCTCAGGTTTCAAGAACTCGGAGCTTAGGACGGATTTCGGTTCTGAGTCGTGCTCGCAATGGCTTGAGATTGCTGGCCCATAGTGGGGATGACAGGCTGCGAGAGCTTTTCAGCCGGATTTGCGCATTGACGGTTTAGGGACACCACGACGAGAGCTGAGTTAGCCGTAGTGCTACAGGTGTAACTGAACATGCCCCAGTTGCCGAATTCGCATCCCTAACCCAAAAACGCTTGAACTTTCAGTCACGGTGGCATTAGACCGGCGCACAGCATCATAAGGGTGTAGGGTCAAGAGGGCTTACCCACCCAATGGCTGCAGAGGTAGCTATAAGCGAACCTAGCAAACCCGCCTGTAACCCCCAATGAATAAACATCGACAAAGAAGAAACTTCAACAAACCCATGGTTCGAACTCGAGTGGAGGTGCCTGAAAAACTCACCAGTAACTACCCCTAAACCCTAAACCCTAAACCCTAAACCCTAAACCCCTAAACCTCAAACCCTACACCCTAAACCCTAAACCCCTAAACCCTAAAAATCCAGAGTTCGAGACAGGAGCCCTAGCACCAAGAAGCCCCGAGAGCTCGAAAAGTCTGAACCCCGGCAGAGCCCGGGAGCTGATGATGTCGGGACCTTAACAATTAGGGTTTAGGGTTTAGGGTTTAGGGTTGAGGGTTTAGGGTTTAGGGTTGAGGGTTTTTAGGGCTTTTAGGGTTTTTAGGGTTTTTAGGGCTTTTAGGGTTTAGGGTTTAGGGTTCTTAATAATTAGAATAGGGTTTTGGGGTATATTGATATATTATACTATGACTGTAAGAAGGAAATCCCAAAATAGGATTGGTAGTTATTATTTAGGCCGCTATATTATTTCAACATCTGACAGCCTGAGATCCCAAACCCATGATCAAATGTGTTTTGTAAGGTCTTTTTGGCAGCTAGGGCTTCAATAAGGCATTGATTAAGGGTAAGGGTCTTCAGGGCGAAGCCCCTAACCCTAAACCGTAGACAAACCCTGTCCTGCGCCAGGCGGTGTCGGAAACCCAGTCGCGTGGAGCCTTCGAAATGCGCCTGCACACGAGGGTTACTCAGTTGCTGCAGAGGCTCCAAGAAGGGTCACTATCAGGCCCGGAGAACCCACTACCCCTTAACTAAGGAATATACATTAAATTATAGGGGCCTTAATATTATGATTTAAGGTATATTCCCTAATGAAGGGGTATTGGGCTCTCTGGGGGGTTCGATAAGGGTAGGTTAGGTTCTGTAAGTGCCGCGAGAAGGCTTCTATACAGGGATGTCAAGTGTTCTATGAGGGCTGGCATAAGGGTCGTTGTAACACTTCCATCAGGGGTGAAAGAAGGATTGAATAAGGGTTACACTTTACACTGTTTGGTTTCAGGAAGGGTTCTTATAGGAGGGGTTCGATTAGGTTTAGCATAGGGGCCTCTAAAAAATCAGCAGAGGGTTCCTTTAAGGCTTTAAGGGCGCTCTTTGGGTTTACTCATTGAAGGCTTCAGGGGGTGTAGAGATAAGGCCCTTGAGAGTTAGACAGCGTTTTGCGGGTACATTCAAAGTACGTATAGCTACACCACGGAGCCCTAAGCGAAAGGGTTTAGGGTTTAGGGTTTAGGGTTTTAGGGTTTAGGGTTTTAGGTTTTAGGTTTAGGGTTTAGGTTTTAGGGTTTAGGGTTCAGGGTTTAGGGTTTCGGGTTTAGGGTTTAGGGTTCAGGGTTCAGGGTTATTATGGCCCCTACATTGTGCAACCGACCTGTTCCAGGGGCCTCAGGAATTGGAACAGGGTCTGCTTTACATTTTAGATTCCAAAGGCACTGTAAGGGATACCGTTCAACCAATTTCTCAAAACAAACTCGTATAACGGAACCCTTACAGACTGCTTAGAGGAACCCTATTAAACTATCAAGTGCCAAGTGCACCAGCCCTCTGCGTCGAAACTAACGGAGGGGCCTTAATATAATTAGAATAGGGTTTCTATTATACTAGACTTATAATAAGCAACCCCCCAACGTAGTTCAGGTAACTATTGAGGCGCCTGTATTACAGTATTGCACGCCCTTGCACTTCAGCAGGAGCTGAAAACCTACCCCCATCTCAAGCTTTGCGGGTTGAGGGGTCAGGGCCTTCCTCGCCCCTATCGCACAGGCTACATGGGTGGTTGTCAAAATTATGGTCCCTTTTTGGGTCCCTAATATAATACGGCACCTCATATTTAGGGTACCCAAAAAGGGACCCTAATTTAGACAACTACCCACATGGCTAATGTAGGAACCTGATTAGGCCCAGGGTTTATTGCGGGCTCTCCTTATGAATCCTAATATATTGGGGTTATAGGGCCAGGGTTTCTTAATCAGGTTCCTACATTACCTCGACCCTCAAACCCGAAACTCCTCCACCCTGAACCTCCGAGCTCCCCAACCCTAAAACCCTAAAGCCCTAAGCTCAGAACCCTAAACCCTAAACCCTAAACCCTAAACCCTAAACCCTAAACGACTCAGAACCCTCAGAAAACACACCCGGATCCGTACACCCAAACAGAAGACAAGGAGCCTGGTACTTCATGGTCTCGCAAATGATCTCCGCTCCGTCTGCCTGTGCTGAAAGCCCCGAGGCCATGATTGCGCATCGATATCGATATGTATATATATATATATATATATGGCAACGGTTGCCTGCTGCTTCAAGTGTTGCGCCTCTGACTGGCTTGTTCAGTATTATTCGAGAAAGGTTGACTGTTGAGCTTGAATAGGGATTGCAGTACTCCAAAAAGTTAAGGGTTGCCTACTCTACTACTAAGTTCACGTGTTACGCCCTAGACAAACCCTAAACCCTAAACCCTAAACCCTAAACCCTATACCTTTCGATGGGGCTCTAAGGCGGGCTTGGACCCGGGGTGTCTGACAGCAACCCAACAGTGAGAATGTGGGTAGTTGTCTAATTTAGGGCCCCCTTTTAGGGTCCTCTTTATAAGGGTGCCGTACTGTATTGGGGACCTCAAAAAGGGACCCTAATTTAGAGAACGACCCGTCCAAAAAAAAATCACCCTGCGACCAACCACGGCTGCGATCACCTAAAAGCCCCAAATCCTGAGCCGCCTAATGTAAGGGCCCTGATCATTAGAATAGGGCTTCGGGATATACTATACTAGAAAAAAACTACGGAACCCCCCAAACAAGTATAGGTCATGATTAGGGCCAGTATATTGATGTAACGCCGGAGTGGGCCTTCTAAGACATGCTTCCAGCATTTCCAACTCACTGTGCATAAGGCGCTCATCCTCCTATCGGATGAGTTCGGAGATAGCACCTTCAGGTGCCGCACGCAGTCTGCCTGGCCCTCTACCCTATACCCACGAAGCAACTGCTCATGAGTCAGCTGAAAACGCAGTGAACCTTCTGCAACATGCTCTCAACCCTAAACCCACAACCCCAAATTGCTGAACGCTATACTCCTATGTACATCCGGTAAACCCCAAACGCCTGAAACCCTAAAAGCAAAGCGGGCGGGGGGGCGGTGGGGGTCGGGGGGCGCACCAAAGAGGCAGCGATGCCGGACTCCTGCCGCAGTCTCTTCAGGTCCCGGATTTGGGCAGGATGTAGGGTTTATGGTTTAGGGTTTAGGGTTTTGGGTTTTGGGTTTAGGGTTACCCCAAATGACCCCCAAAACACCCTAGTTCTGACTAGTAGACGTAGCGGCATAGTGATAAGAGCAACCAGTAATGACAGTAACAACAAAACTCGTAGAGATGCTAGATACCCGACAGTATGATAGTAGTAGTCGTCGTGAGAAGAGCAATTCATTAACAACAATAACCAGACTACTGGTATTATAATAGTCGTAATAGCGGTGTTCATCTGAAGTGGAATTCGCCCAAAGTTGGGTGACCTGCGTAAGCTTGACTACCTCTTGGTGGATTTCTTCGCATGATTCACTGAAAGCCAGGGCAGGGTTCAGAGCACGGGGGGTCTAAACGGTTTAGGGCCTAGGGTTTCGGGGCAGAGTTGAGGGATAATTTCAAGGGGAGTCGCGCGAGCCAGGGGCTCGGGTGGCTCAAGTTAAGCTTAGCTTCAGATGTGGAGGGAATTTCGCCATCTAGGGCTTTGTCTTCCGGGTGCACGGGTGCCCGCTTCTCCTTCACAGGTAATTCTGTCATCGCAGTCTTTCAGGATTTTGGCTTCAATCTGTCCCTAAAGCCTAAACCCTAAACCCGTAAACCCTAAACCCTAAAGCCCCCGATCCTTCAGCACACCTCAAACCCTAACACCCCAAAGCCCTCCTAAACCATCAGGGATTGATCAAAACTCACAAAACACAAAGCACACCAAAACCTCTGAAGCTCAAATTCCAAAGCACCAAAAGTGCCCTAAACCCTACACCCTATAAAACCTCAACCCTAAACCCTATATAAACCTTAAACCCTAAACGACCCTGGTGGGGGTCCTCGCGCTTCTTCGCGAAGTCACCGGGAACTCGGCCCCCGGCGCCGGTGACGATGCCCATCTCCTACGGGCACCCTGAGGGTTTGGGGTTTAGGGTTTAGGGGTTTGGGTTTAGGGTTTAGGGGTCCAGGGTTTAGGGGTTGAGGGTTTAGGGTTCAGGGGTTAGGGTTTAGGGTTTAGGGTTTTTAGGGTTTGGGGTTTAGGGTTTAGGGTTTTTAGGGTTTGGGGTTTATAGGGTCCCAACAAAAGAGACAAGTTCATATAAGCCAAGGATCAAGCCCAACAGGTTCAGGGCTCTCCCGCCTAAGCAATTAAGTTGTATATGCAAAGTGGCAAACTTGGGAAGGGGGGGAGTAAGGATGCATGTATGCAAGGGGGGGGGGTCAGAGGATGATCAGGTTCAGAGGACAAGGCCACTTGATGGAGAGGACAGGGAAGCGCGGGAGGATGGGTCCGAGGCTTTCAGAGCGTCTCCAGGTATCAAAAGGGTTTCGGGGTTTAGGGTTTAGGGTAATCCTACACACATGGGTGATTCTCTAAGTTAGGGTCCCTTTGTAGGTCCCCAACATAGTGCGTAGAGAACTATAATCACATGAGAAACCTATACTCGTGCATCTACCGAAAGGAAATGAACGAACAGGAAAGGATAACTTACTTGGCAGGGTACTGAAGTTAAATCCTAAACCCCTATAACCCTTTTGCTTCTTCGTGCGCATGAGGGCTTCGGACCGGAATAGCGAACGACCGCCGGTAGTTTTGAGAGTTGAGACGTGGCGGGATTCAGGCTTCTTCGGGAGAGTAGACCTCTGAAACATGCCATTTAGAGATAGTTTAGGGGCCTCAGTGATTCGGAACAGGGTTTGGGGGTACATTATAGTGGGTAGGATTAAGGAACCCTACGGAATGATATTGGTAATAAACTAACTTTAGAGTGAGATGGATAAGGAACCCTAAGGAAGGATATGGGGGCTTCCGAAAATAGGGGAGCCCAATATAGTACCCCAAATAGTAGGATCCTTATTATAAGGACCCCAAAATAAGGTACCCCTAATTTTCGGAAACTCCCATATTGGTAATTGACTAAGCTTCTACATTAGGGCTTTGAGTTCTTGCCATGAGGCTTCGGCCTGTGCCGGATGGCTGTGCCCAGTGGGTCTCGGGCCTAGGGTTTAGGGTTTTGGGGTTTCAGGGTTCAGGGACCAGGCTTTCGGGTTTTAGGGTTTTGGGGATATTTAGGGTTGGCGGTACTTGTCTTGTTCCCATGAAAGCCGACCGTCGCATCACGATCATGGCGGCTATGATGACGATTGCGACTGAAACTGTCGCACACATTCTGACTATGGGTAGTTCTCTGAATTAGGGCCCCTTTGGGGGTCCTTCTTATAAGGGTGCCGTACTATATTGGGGACCCAAAAAGCGACCCTAATTCAGAAAACTACCCCTATTGACTATGATGATGGGAACTGTCCGGCCGATGGCGGTGGCAGCTGGCGCACCTATCCTTCATGCCTAGTTTCTCTGTCTGGTTTAGGGTTTAGGGTTTAGGGTTTAGGGTTTAGGGTTTAGGGTTTAGGGTTCAGGGTTCTTCCAACGTCAAGTTGCGATGCGGTCTCGCTAGTCGCCCGGCTGACAAGAACTTTCGAGTTTAGGGGATAGGGTTTGCAGGCGAAGTTCTCCGACAAGGCTCACAACAAGAGCAAGGATCAGCAAGGACACTTTTAACGTTACAAATAGGTCCATCACACCGCCTCAGCCACCCTCATGTAGAAGCTAAAAGTCCCTATATATTAATTACCTATGCTATTTTGGGGGGTTCCTTATTATAATTGCGGTATAATGGGCCCCAAATCCCTGTTCTAATTATCAAGGGAGTTTAGCTTGATGGTAGAGGAATCGGAAGGCAGCTCGGTCCTCGAAGAGTGGCATGCAGCCCATGGCACCTGCAAAGCAACTCTGGATAGGGATCTTGGGGCAGGGGGTTGGCGTTCAGGATTTGTGCCCGAAGCCCTGAAGCCTATGATGTAGGGGCCTTAATAATTAGAATAGGGTTTTGGGGGCCCCTTATACCGTAATTGTAATCAGGAACCCCCCAAAATAGTATAGGTAATCAATATAACAGGGACTTTTAACTTCAAAACTGTACGATGTCGTGCAGCAGATGAGCTACTGTGACGACAACTCATTTTGGGCTTTAGGGTTTAGGGACTTGGGTTTTAGGGTTTAGGGCTTTGGGTGGTTTTGGGGTTTAGGGTTTAGGGTTCAGGGTTTAGGGTTCCTGAATAACGGTTTAACGGTCCTAACGGAGCCTGTGATATGGTCCACTTCGCGAGCTACACGCTGTCCCTGTGATGGCGAGCGTACTGCAAGGCCATGCCGATCATGAGCAAGAGGTAGGATTGTGACCGGAGCAACCCGAGGAACACTACTTGTACAAACAATGATCAGACTTCGTCCGAAACACGGAAGATGGCAACAAGAGCACCATCACGAACGTCGCAACTTATAGCATGGCAGCACTCTGCTTCTAAGCCCTAAACCTTAAACCTGAAACCCTAAGCCCTGAACCCTAAACCCTGAACCCTGAACCCTACACCCTGAACCCTGAAACCAAATCAAAAACCCCTAGAAGTCTGAGCTCTTGGCCGACGAATGCCCGATGAAAGAGGCCCTTGTACTTTGGCTTCTTTAGGACCTGGGGCCAATGGGGGTTTAGGGTTTAGGGTTTAGGGGTCTTTTTTGGGCTCTCTGTTTAAAAAGAGTGCCGTACTGTACTGGGGAGCCAAAAGAGGGACCCTAATTTAGAGAACTACCCAATTAGGGTTTAGGGTTTAGGGTTTGCAGTGATGATTTTATGGAAATGAGTATCTACAGTTTGCTGCAAGGTTGAGGGTTTAGGCTGTCGGGTCTAGGGGTGTATAATAGTCTACTGTAATAAAGAAATAAAGAAACCTACATACTTACTAGAATTATTTTGGAGGTTCCTCATGATAAAATATACAATAAAGGGGCCCAAAACACGATTCCAATTATTAAGGCGCCTATACTAGGTAGTTCCATGCACCTTTCAGGAACGGGCTCGTGGAGAGCACACCCACAACACCACCACCACCACCAACACCACCACCAACACCAACACCAACACCAACACCAACACCAACACCAACAACAACAACGACAACAACAACAACAACAACAACAACAACAACAGCAACAGCAACAGCAACAGCAACAGCAACAGCAACAGCAACAGCAACAACAACGACAACTTACTACTACTACTACTACTA